ACATAGCCTTGCTTTCCCAAAAGTTGTTCTCATCCAAGGTGGACTGCAGTTTCGACCTCGCTTCGGTCGCTAAGGGTGTTGATAAGACCGATGCGAGGTCGAAACTGCAGTCCACTGGGGCCTGAATGAGAACAACCTTTGGGAAAGCAAGGCTTTGTGAAATTTAATCAAAAACGTTAGTTCAACTCATATCATTGTGGGAAAATTCTACTACCAGTCCTTCATCACCTTAGACGAAATAGGGTAAATAAATCTTATTACACTGATTTACTGATAGTCTCGAAACCCTACTCGTATACGAATAAGATTAACATCCTCGACTGTTATGGCAAAATCGAGTTGCTTTTATCGACATTAGTCTATGTGGAAATATGATTGGCTTCTAAGCTTGTGAGACTATATCGCAATATTGCCGTTTAACTCAAGTTGACGATGATGTTGCGAGATAGGATCTGCAATCTATCTCCTTTTTGAAGATAAGGATATGTGCATTTTTAATGGAATTAGAAGGTCTTCGACTTAGTTTCTGGTGAGAACGTCAGCTGATTAGGCCATTTTCATTTCGAGCAAGCGTTTGATGAATCTATTTGTAGGTTAATCGCACCAGAAGACTATGACAACATGAAAGTGAGTCCAACGATTGTAAACTGAGAAAAGTCCCCTATAAATAACTACAATTCATATATGGAATTTCTATTATCAACCCTAAAAATATCTCATACGACATAAGGCAAATCGAGAGTTCACTCAATCTATACTCATAATTAATAATCCTTATCAATTAGTGATAATAAAAATAATCAATAGTCAATGATAAATTTATAAAGCAAATCACTTGATACAAAAATATATGGTTACGTAAAAGAAGGCTTGCTGGAGGTTGGAAGAATCCGGCCAAAGCATTACTCCACTTTATGCCTGCCGCCTTTTCACTTTTGTCCCCTAAATTCAGCGCGAAGTCATATCGATCCACGTCGGACAGGCTGGTGTCCAGATGGGCAATGCAATCTGGGAGCTCTATTGCGCAGAGCATGCAATCGGAGCTGATGGTTTTCCAAAAGAGGCTCCGCATGAAATGGAGTGTCAGAGCACCTTCTTTTACGTCAGCCCAAAGGGTCAATATGTGCCAAGATGTCTTTTTATCGACCTGGAAGCCTCCGTTGTGGGTAAGTCTAAAAAGCCTAGGGTCTAATCTACTCCAAATCGAGAGATATACGAGGCAACGTAGTCTTCTAAGTTGAAATTATGTCTGGGTAGTGTGTATGAAATTTACGTCAAAACTTACCAACATTTCCATCCCTGCCAGTCCAATATTTTGGAGAAAATGCATGTGAGTTCTTCACGGTGTTCAAGAGTCTGTTGTTTACTTTCTTAAGCTTTAAGCATATAAATTTCGCTAGTTTGTGTGTTTCTCCATGCTTGTTGTTGACACTTAACCTTAGTAGTTTTCCTTCCTTATGTATCTTTAGTAGTTATTAGGCTGTCAGTAGTCTTCCGTCATTTTTTATTAACAAATTCGTCATCCGTTGTTATGCATTTCCTTTAAAATTTGCTTAAGTATTTCGTTAATCTTTCCCAGTATTTGATAATTTTTCTGTTGGTATAGGATACTTTTATTTTTTATCCGTGTACTCTTGCCCGTCCATTACCACCGTCGCACCTTCCTTATCCGCCTGAAGAACTACTTTGTCATTCGTTTATTATTTTCTACGTATCTTCATTAATGCATTCCTCTATACTAGCTCTTGATGCGGCAGGATTCTCAAGATTAATTCCATTTCCATCTCCTGTCTGGTCTTTTCTGGAAATTTCTGCGATATCTTGATAACTCCTACAAGGATATCTTCTAAAATCTTCCCTTCGTTGCCTAGTGATAAATGTACCCCTTTCGTCAGGAGTTCCACCATTTCGGAATTAAGAAGGATTGAGGATACGTTCACTACTTTATTCCCATCGCCCTTGGGAGGAGTGGGTGCCGTTATTTCCGGAATATCATGATTTGATCGGGTTGGCTGCATCTTGAGCTGTCTTAGTATACCATATCTAGGCAATATCTTGTCAAGCCGCTTATTTATCAAATCCCGGACCCCCTGTGACTTCTGGTCAGTGAAACTCTGGGGTTTTTGAAAATCCCCCGCAGTGAGAACCCTGCCTAGATCCTTCCTTAATCTAACCTTAATATCTATGACATTAAATAGATTACGCCTATGGTCTCGTAACATCCCCCTAATTTCTGGATGGAGGCTGAAAAAAACATGTCATTGACTGTTTCGAATGACACTTCCTCGTAAGGTTGCAGAATACGGGAGCTTTAGTATAATGTTTTCAACAATTACGAATGGTAAAACGGCATGACTAAAGAGCGGATACGAGGATATAGGATAGGTGAATATCCGAGGACAGAAGGATACCATTACTATTTAGCAGACAGTTGGTCAAATGGTAGACTTAATTTGCCTCTTTGAAAAGTTGTAATGTGGGGCTAAGAATAGCAAAGATCACTAACAATGCCAGCGAAATGTCTGGGAATGTACCAAGTCCACCGTCCGAATCTGGCAATTATCATGGATGCTATGAACTCCAGACAAGGTACATTCCTCTAGGTCTTCCTGACAATATGACTAAATTACGAAAACTTTAAAAAAAACTTTGTTTTTTAGACATCTATGGCTATTTAGCATTGACCACTCATACTGATCTATTTCTAATTTATAGACACATAAAGCTTTGAAATCGCTTTCGTGCTATGATAATCTATGATCCATGGGTTTTCCTCACGCCGTCTTTACCGCATGGTCGCAATACCCTATAAAGGAGTTAAACTGATTCTCGGTCAGAAGACAGATATAAGGAAGGATTTTAGTTTCTCTCTACAAATATGCCTAACTTGCCATTAACTCAGAAATTTGCCCATCATTTTCTAAGTCTGAAGTGAGTATGATTTTACCCAGCAATAATTAACTTAAATTTGGCTTCTTGTACCGATGATAGCTATCACGAATGTAGAGAAATTAAGTGCCTCTTCGATATCATGGAAGTTACAATAAATAAATACTTCCTATTAATCGTCCAAATTAAATGTAAGATAAAAATACAAAAGGGTATAAAGGAATTGTTGAAATAGAAGTTACTTTGTATGCATAAGAAACTCCATTGAAATCCCTATCTATAAAATTTTGTCTCTTAATTGGGTTGCCTAGACCTAGACTTGATTGCGCTATAGGCCAAAAATGAAAGCAAAGCTATATGGTCTTACAGTAAAACAGAATTCTCAAGAGAAAGCATTTATGAATTGAATTGCGGACTCCATCCAGAATCGCAGTTGGATACCAGAAAATAACCCAATTTTCCACTAATACAATTGTAGTGTCGGAAAAAATGTAAATAAAGTCAGAAACAAATTAATAACTTCAATACAAAAAGTCCACAAACTTATGAGTAGAAATGAATATATTTTGGTGAATGCACTAAGACAAACTAATATACAACTCTCTGAGTCAATAAAGGCTCAAAGTCAGAACATCCTGCGAAACTTTCAACATGATAAAAAGTATTAACGAAACAATTAATGTTATAGAAAAAGTGAAATTTAATTCACTCGCATTATAGTGCATAATCAAAATATTTGGGTAATCAGAAGCTCGACAATTAGTCTGCAAAATCACCAAAGATGGCATATGGGGACTAAAGGCGTAGCAACAAAATAATGATAGAATGAAAGAATACTCAAAATGTCCAAAAAAAGCTTATTCGTTCCGGGTGAAAGCGTGTTAAGCCTTCGCATGCCACATACCGGCATCAAGAGAGGTGATAATAATTCAAATGACCAGGTCAAAAACACATTGATGGCTTGACACGAATACAGACACAAATGCACAAACACTCATACTTCAAGATTGACACTTGATAGGATATATAAAAGATGTGTTCATCCAATTTTGCTTAAGGTGATGAATAAGAGGTAGTTGAAATTTCCCGCAATGATAACTCATGTATCTGATTTACTGGTAGTCTCGAAAAAAATACTTAAAACGAAAAATATGGAAATATAAATGTGATAATATATGTAATGGAATATTAATAGGGTTTTTAATATATGTATATATATATGTGTGTGTGAGGTGTATGTGTGTGTGGGTGTGTTTGTATGTATGTAAATCGAGTTCGTTAAATCAACTGTGATAATATTAGTATTGTGACTGTCATTTGCAATGAAAGTTCCTAAGAGCGAACTTCGTAGCTCGATCCTATCTGAAGAAGATGGCGTATCCTATATGATAGAATGTAATCTGGCTATAACTGGAATGTTCTGGCTGATTTCTCCGCGTGAGAAACTCCTTCGGTTCTGGAGAAGCGGCGTGAAAATCTCATCAGTCATGTACTTGCTAGACGTCATCAGAGAAAGATGCAATTTTTGCAAGTATCCAGACTTAAGATAGACTTAGTATTCTTCACTTTTCAGGTATACGGAAGTAGAGTGATTCAATACAACATAGTCATCTAATGTTGCTCATCTAACTTACTCTTGATCCAGGATGTGACTTTTGCACCTTCGCCGCTTATGACGGAATAAATGCAATCACGACTCACAATAACTCCATATTCTCATTAATTGGAATGTGTGTTGTTGTGTTGACGCGTGAAGTCCCATCGAATTCTCACTCCCAACGTCGAGAGAAGAAATCTGCCTAGTTACATAGTTTATATAAAATCTCCATGGCTTAGTTGGTAGTTTCCCAAAAAGGACGGTCGGAAATCATTTTGTCGTGCAGGAGATGGAAAGTAATAGCAAAGGTTTGCTTGTTCAAAAGACTCATGTAAAAATTAAAGTGATGCACATGAATGCACAGGAACTAAGTGGAACATTTTTCCAACCCAAAATAACAATTACTTTGTTATCACCTACCCTTTTTGCGTTTTAGTCAGGCTAACACAGTTTGACGAACAACATCTATTACATAGACATTATTAGACCACATCATTCATGTGGACTGAGGGGGCTTGAATAATTGATTTATTGCAGAGTCCAGCAACCACGACGGCTAACAACGATATGCATATTCCCTGCCAAGTAGTAATTTATACCAGAGTGTTCTTCAAAATGGGCAATCCCAGCAAGACTGTAATTTGCATGAGGAAGGTTTTGCTTTAAGCTTGACATTTGCCCGGTGACCCAATGACATCTGTGGATGTATCTTGGAGTGGCAAAGTATAGCCACGATGTACAAGACCCAGTTACCAATCTCTTTGAGGCTGCTGAATTTCTTGTATACAAACTCAGTCATTCTGT